AGGGGAGTTTCTGATTCAGCCGATGATAGTCTCTTACTCTTTCCTTTTAAATAGAGCTGAAACACAGATAAAAATAGATACACGAGGCTGAAATTAGTTTTGAAACCAGCAGCATTAGGTATCGAAGTCAGTAGAACAAATCTAGGTCTTCCTGAAAACGGTCATTTCCCTCCAGGATATTCTTCCCCTGCCCCATAACCTCACTTTACTTATCTGCTTTAATTTGTTCTCTATTGAGCTGATAACTGCAGTAAGTCTTGGTTTATAGCTTTAGAGATTGGCTGGAATCAAAGAATGCTAAAAAGTCTATGTATGAAAAAGTTAAAACAGCAAGTGTCAGTTACTGTCGTACCCCATAGAATTACACAGACATGATACTTTAAAAAATGTGTCATACTATTTAAGCACCCTAATATTGAAGTGTACACTTCCTATGGTATTTAACAACACTTCAGCTCACAGCAGTTCATTACAAAGTGAAAGGGATGTTTTAAACAGTATGCAGAATCATTAGCTAAGCCAAACTCAGTTTTAACTGTGAATCTGAAAACAGCATGCTTCACAAGCAGGAAAAAAAATGCAGAACTAATGAGCAAGATGATAAGAGGGATAAAAAAATCGAGGATTGCCATATAGGACCCGATATTTCTTAATATTAACTAGAAAAAACAATACATTAGAAGCAAGAGGGTGTTCCAGACACGATACCAGAATGTCATTGTGTCAATATGCCCTGTTCCGGGGGTCAATGTACCTCTGGATTTAGCTCACAGACCAGGGATTTAATGAGATATTTTGTAAGTGACCTTGTATAACAGTAATACAATATCATTTACATCATTACATTTATTTATTTTAGGCCTGGGCAGTCCTGCCTGGACTTTGCAAAGAGTTTCAGATGATCCCAGTCTACACCAGACCTCATTAAAACTAACAAAGTATTTCAAACTGATGAAAAACAAAACCAAAAAACACAAGGACTTTCCTGAGGTAGATGAATGCAATTTTTCCTTCATGTGTTAATTGTAAGAGAGTTAGTTGAATTATTTCTCTCAATTAGGAAACCAAATGAAAATGAAGTTCACCCATTTTTGCCAATGTTCTTTTTTTAAAAAAAAAAATCAAAAAACCCCAAAAACCCCCAAAATGCAACAGAATTCTTCACAGCAGCCTTCTCCAGTTTCTCAGAAGGAAATTTCTGCACAAAGAATTTGTAGCAGTCAGGAGGTTCCAACATCATGATGTCGGTGGTAATATTTTTGGCAATTAGTTCTGTTGGTAGTGCAACTAATACCATGTATGCACTCTACTGAAATGGTCTGTTGACAAAGCTACCACGATCTCATGAACCTGAGTAACACTACCAGAGATTCATTCCACGTTTATGAGCACTGTATTATCCAGTGTCACAAGAATAAAAAGAAAGTCTCTGGTCACACTGGCTGCTTATAACAGGATTCTCTTGAGAGTTTTCATTTCCATTTACTACCATGAGGATAACTAAACTACACAAATAAATACACATTTACTCTAGCCCTGGCAGTTGTTCATACTCCTTCTCCTTGTAGCTAAAAGCAAAGCAAAAGGGAATTTTTCACATTGGCTTTTCTGAAACTTTCACAACTGAAGAGAATTTATGATCACTCACAAAAGATTCAAACATCGTTGCCACCTTTGTCACCTCATGGTAACTATGAGGGCCAGGAAAATTCAGCCAATTGGCAGCCCACATGAAACAACATTAAATTAATCGTTCCTCCTAATTAAAAGCCTGAATTCTGCACTCACTGAAGTCAGTGAGAGAGCTGTTACGTAGTACAGGGTAAAAGGACTGGGCCTATAATGTCTGGGTTGCAGTAGCTTTCCTTAACTTATCCCAAAATGTCAAAGTTTCAAATAGTTTTTGGAAAAGTGCAGATCATATTCCCGTATTGCAGATTCCTATGAGATTTGCATCCAAACATCTGACTCCGGACAGTTTCAACTCACATTTATTATCAGTATGGTCACTAAAGTACACCAATCCAACCAACTAGACTTGCTCAGAAGAAATATTCCTGAAGGGCGGTTAGCACTGTTTTTGTCCTTCCCAATCCACACATACAAACCGTTTGAACAGTAGGGGAGTCTCCCACCAGAGCAGACAGTAGCGTGGAAGAAAACAGCTGTTATACTGACAGAACAAGTACTCCATTCAATGGTTAACATAAATAGCTAGTCAGGATGCTGGACAAATGGGTGGAAAAGCAAGGACAGAAATCACCTTCCACAGGCCTTGTAACAACTTAAATGCTTTCGAAAAAACTCTCTTATTCAAACATTCACCTTTGCACTTGAAAGGGCAGAAAAATCAAACTATTCTTATATCCCCTTGTTCAATGTGTTCCATCTATTTTTCCCTGCGTGTGCTGTCCTGCAGAGAATTTATGTGCTTAAAAACAGCTGAGGATGCACTATGCATGTATATCATATTAGCATCTAACATGCCTTGCATTGTGAAACCACACTGAGTTTGAATATAAGCAACAATAAGGCAATTTCAAGTCAACTGTTTGCTGCTGCTGCTCTTGCAAACATCTTTCGGTGAGGTAGTAAGAAAAAAGAAAACTGTCTCCATCCATGTCATAGTAAACGGATCTACAAATAAGCTTTGTGGAACCATGCTTCAACTTGTATCTTAATTTTATTAATCAAAAGCTTTTAACTTTTTTTCCTCCCAGTGCAACTTTTTAGTCTTTTCTGTGCATTCAAATGTATTTATGTCATCAAATATAAAAAAAGGAATATAAACCAGTTACTATTTTAAGATTAATGGAAGTATATAAATGAGAAGGCACATAAACTGATGCAGCTTCACTGAAGCAGCAATAGGTCATGGAATACACTATATTTTAAGAGACAGTAAGGCTTGTGAAAGAGTACGACTCATACAAATAGTTAAAAGATCCATCAGCTATTAGTGAAAATCCAGTTGTATTTAATCACATATATATTGCTACAACTAAAAAGACTGATCCCACAGTCCAAATGAATCAATGGAAATCATTTCATTGGCTTCACTGAGCTTTATGTCAGGGCACTAAATGCAAAAAGAGTACACCCAGTAGAAACACTTTCTAATCTATGTTTCAATACACTAGTAGAACTGAAAAGCAGAATCAAGCCAATTATACTGTGGAGTGTAAAGTAGTGTAAATCTATACCTCCAGCCTCACAGCGACTAATTGACATGATGGATAATATCAAATGTTATCAAAGTGAGATAAACACCTTCTGCACCAACACTACAGTTGTTAGTATTCTAGTGTCTTAGTTTTATCCATAATTATTAGTTCTGAATGCTGGTGCTAGTAGTCTTGAAACTGTAGTCTCAATGACAAAAGACTAGCTGTCTTCATTTTTTAAAGGAAATTTAGCCTCTTGAAAGATATCTCTATGACAGAACTGAGCATTAAGTTATCCATAAATCCTGTGTTTGATTAAGCAAGTTGACACTGAAGCTATTGTATGAACTAATGCTACTAATATCAAAATTACACAGTATCACTTACAAAACAATTCAGATTAATTTGGAAAAGAAACCATAGTAGTACGGGAAAGTTCCAACTGTCTTAATGTTTAATGATAAGTTCAGTTCAATATTTCAAATTCACTTTCAATTCCAGGCTATAAACCAACTAAATTACATATAATGACGGTTTTATATTGATAGAACTATTACTTTTTGGCTTGGCCCACAGCAATAGGCAAACTTTAGGAGAAACAAAAAATGCATCCATCATAAATGTAATTTTGCTTTTATACACGATTTTCTGCCATGGAGAAGGCAAACGACTACTGACACTACAAAATTTAAAAATTCTTCAAAAGCATATTTAAAGATTATAATTTGTTATTATGCCTAGGCTAAGTTTCTTATGGCTTTATAAAACCCTTGAAGACTAACAACAGCTTCTTAAGAAAACCCCTGAATATATGAAGAAATTTATAGTTCAAATGAACAGAACTATTATATTAATAGTAACTCAGCCACAAGTTCTTAAAAAAACAGCTACTGAAGATTACTCCTAAATTTTAGTCACATGTATGAAGAACATTAAACAATTTTATAGAGATTTTCTCACACTTGTGAATCTCCAGTTTCAACAAAACACCCATTCATTTACATCAAATGTAAACAGCATCAGCTTTTCACTGATTTTATTTTAAGCCAATTGTTTAATTTTAATTTTCTGAAAACAGGAAAGCATTCTCCAATTTATGACTGTATTTTAAATAGCAGAGATAGCGTTGATAATATGTGACAGCTTTTTTATCTAAAGCAGTGGTAATAATTAATTATCCAGTCCTTCTGGACCTATTTAGCTATAGCATCAGTAATAGAGACTTTGTTTCTTAACTACAACATGCCACTATTACTGTATGTGGGTTTTAGAACTTATTAGGCTACTCAAATTCTTTTTAAAATTCAGACAGGAAAAGATGTGATTTTTTATGGAGTAGTTTCATTTTTATATGAAGGAGAAAAAAAAAAACAGTGCTGCAAACATGTAGAAACATAAATAATTTGGACCTATGAATTTAAATGCAAGTCCTGCAAATAAACTCATATTATAATAGTTCACAAAATACAGTATTCAAAGCCTGTTTCCTGTGACAATTTGCAGATGCGCTTAACCATGTATATTACACACTGAAGTCAAAGCGAGTGCAGAGGGGGCCCAAAGTAGAGCATACACAACAGTCTTTGTAGAATCAAGGCCTCAAGTAATAGGCTCCTAACTACGCCTGTTACTAAACTTGAAAAAACTGTCTGTGAAGTTTCTGGTTCTTTCCAAAAGTACTTTCTCTTTGATAGTCTTCCAAATGTAGTGTATATGTATACATATATGTAGGTATATGTATATGTACACAAAGTTATCAAGTTTTTAATCACTTACGAGAGTAAGTCACCTTAGAAACATACTATGACATTCAAACATGGCATTTTTGCTACTCACCTGTCTGTTACGTTCATCCATAATCCTTGTAATCTGAATCTTTTTTCTCCCCATAGTCCCCGTTTTTTTTTCTCTCCTTCTTCCTTAAAATTATGTATTTTTCCCTTCTCTTTTCTTCCTCTTTCCCGCTTCCTCAGAACAAACCTCCTTCTTCAGCACTTGCACTACTCAGTTCACAGTCCCCTGCATCCGTTCCTGCTAAACACAGAAAGGAAATAAAATGTTATTACAAAATTGATAACTAGATGGAAGGTATTATATGGAGCTGACCAAGCATCCTCATCATAATTTAGTGTACAAGTAAATGATAGTGAAAATCTACTGCATCTCTAAAATAAGTAATGCATAGACAAATAATATAATTCAAAGGCTTCTTTTATGAACAAACCCACCAATACATCAAGAAACGAAGGAAAGGACTGAAATACACTTTGCCAAAATTTAATGCAATTAGGTGTCTCTAGTTTTAAATATCACTCACTGCTGTAATATGAAAAATTACCTAAATCAGAGAGTTAATGAACCTTTCTGTACCTATGTATGCTAAGTAGGCCAGCTAATTCATTTCTGAAGGGAAAAAAATCTTGTGTTTTGACAGCAGAGGTGATAATGTCCCTCATTATGCAAATAGGATGGACCTTTATTAAAGTGTTACTTGATATATGAGAGATGTCAGCTACTTTAAAATCCAAAATTTTTAACTTTATTCTTTAAGAATACAGATTAGTGCAAGTATTACTCAAGATAGTTGAAGAAAGCAGTAGTGCATTTTCCCACACTTCATTTCAATGTAAATTCTAAAACATTCTGACAAATGATTTATAACTAGCAAAAATGTATATATTTCGTTATAAATATTCTTGCACCAAAATACAAGCTATAGAGCACAGAATAATAGCGACAGACAGTAATTTAAGAATGTTTTGAAAAATATTTCCACAGTTCTAGTAATGCATTGACAGTGGCTCTCTGAATTTCACAATAGTTCTATCGTAAAACTAAGGACAGTTAGATGCAGTATATAAAAATACAGAACACCATACATATTCCATTTTTCACAAAATGTCATAAATCACAAAATTAATTTTTGTCATAGGTGAACTATTTTTAGCCGTAAAAGACATGATAGAAATAGAAGAAAATACAGAAATGATGTTCAGTCTAAAGTAAAAGATTCAACTTTTTCCCTTTTTAACCTTCATTCATCATATTTTTATATTTATGTATTTTGAACAGAACAGTGCAGAGTTCTTTTAAACACAGACGAGAAAAAAAAATCTGAAAGAGCTTAATTTAAAATGATTTTTTAAAGTTTCATGTTAGATACATAGTGTATTAAAAATATTGCCTTGGAAATATAAATTCAGTAATTTTAAAACATAGGCTGGTGTTTCCTTATTTATTTTGAGCTTGTAGTCTCACAGCCAACCTGACAAATTCTCACAATATGTTACGTAACACTAAGCCGATGTCCTGGCCATTTAATCCATTATTTGGCTCTGATTCAAAGCTACTGAGGTAGAAAAGCTAGACCTCACTTATTCTGATCTTCAATTCTCTCTTGATTTTCTTTGCATACATTAAACTTTAAGCTGCTCAAGTGTATTATCACTCTAAGAAAAAAATAAGCTAACAAATAAGCAGTCAGTCTGAGTTTTCTGACTAGCCAGTACGATATAACTAATTTGCTGGGTGAAATAAAATTTCAAATATAATATTTATTACCTTTCTGTACATGAATGACTTTTAATGTTATTTGCTAGGCAGATTTATATATGCCTAAATCATTACTGTAATGCAGAACATGGAATATGGAACAACTCATATTGCCAATATTCTAAAATGTAAACGCTGAAAAATTTTTTCGCTGCTTTTTACTTTTTCAAAAACAGTTCAACTTCTCACTGCTTAAAAAGACACAAAGGTGTTTGATCATATTCACAACAAAAGATAGAAGTCCAAAACTTTGAAATAAATTGATTACATGTATTTATAAAACTTTTTTTTCCAAACAAAGCTAAGAGACACTCTTATCTGATATTCAGTGTTGACAAACAAACCCAATCTATTTTTAGAAGCAGTTTTAAATTTCCTCCGACTGGATTTCTTTCCTGTTTTTCCTATAGTCCTACCTCTGATACAAAGAGCAAGTTAGAATGGTGTTTCCCATGCACATGCAGGACCCAAAGGAGTCTAACAGGCTTTCTCTGCAACAGTAAGCCCATACGCTAATCCACAGCAAATGCATATGGAACAACTTCCTTTCTTTTCATTCAGCTGAGGCCAGTGGCACTATCGGCTTACAGCACTACGCCTGCCTAAGCTCTTATTCACTGCAAGGTGGAAGGTCAGGGTGGACAGATTAGAGCAGTGGCGATGGGGTAGCAAGGGTGAGAGCTGCTCTGCAGATCACGGAGCTGATGCTGAGAGAGTTCAGAAAAATCACTGAACACTGAGAAAATCTACCAGGAAGGACAAAAATCTTAGTGGAAAAGCAATATGTTGAGTCCCTCCCACACACTCATCGGTTCCACATTTAAGACCAGTCTTCAAACAACAAAAGCTTTTATAGGCAGTTTAAAGTCAGAACGCTTAAAATCCCTATGATCAATACAAAATTATCTTATAATTAATGAACACTTGAGCAGAATTTTATACTTCATTACTTGTAGTAAGCCACTAACTACACCAGTTTTATTTTAAGTGGAAAAACAGATGTGCAGGAAAATAAAGTTGAAAGGATGCAAGGATGATTTGGTTGTTAAATATTATCATACAACCTCAGGGAACCCGAAGGAGAAAACAGAATGTGTTAGGTCATACGTATCCAACATACATACAATTTGCAAAGAAACAAATTTGCTTCAACAGATAACATGTTAAGGTTTTTGTCATGGGTGAAAAAATCCTGTCTCCAATTTGCTTTTTCCTCACTAGTCCAATTTCAAATAAAAGCTTTTCAGTTTTTCCAGAAAAGTTATTTCCTTTTTGAAAAATAATTTCTGCTATTTTTGCTGCTACTAGATGCAAATTGGGAATGCTGTGGTATTCTCTGTCCCCACCCTACTCTTTTAGACATATATACGTATCAACACATACTGCTTCACGTGCTGTTCTTACTACGTGGTTGCCTATGGTTCTATTAATTTCATTAGTACATATATAAAGCAGATAGCTTGATTGATTCCAAATCAGTTAGATTCAGATGAGTGAATCAAGACACGTGTTTGAAGGGCTATAACGTTCAAAGGCTGGTGACAGTCAAACAGAATGTAAAGAACTCTGGAGACCAACAAATCCCCGTGGCTGCTTTAGGACTTCACCAGTGTTCTCGATACCTTTTGAAAGTTATTGCAGGAATAAGGATTACAGTATTAATTATTTAAAGTTTCTGTTAACTGATAAATTCTATTTCCTTGATGCTAAAAAAGCATACTAGCAACTAGAAAAGTTGAAGGTACTACAAAAGTCAGGCTTTCATTATCCAAGAGGATCTGAAAAGGAATTAAAAAAAATTCGAGAATCTTTGCTGAAGAAGCTCTCTACATAAAAGAAACCTCCCAAGTTAATGACATGGTCACATGCCAACAAATTGCACTTAAAGAAACACATACTGTTACAGTCTTCAGCATTTTTTCTTTTTGCAAACCCAAACATAAAAAAAAAAAAAAAATCAGACTGCTTACAAAAAGAGGAACTTTGTTTTTGGCGGGCTTCTGTTCACTATATGATTTGGCAGAGGCAGTGGTAGCTGACAGCAGATTGCTCTGAGCCTTGAGAAGAGAAAAGAGCTAATGGACAAAAGCAGTAGATCACTTGACCACTCCTGTCTCTCGTTTGTACATTCGCACACGGACATAAACACGGGCGCACGCACACACACACACATATGCACACCCACTATCCCTCCTCTGTAACACAGAAGAATCTTGATAGAATGGCAGGAAACACGCACAGAGTGGTCAGGGAAGGATATGACGTCAGCAACCACGAACAATAAAAGGTGTAAAGGTGCTTCCTTCCCTAAACTGTTCCAGAAGTGCAAAATGGGAACCAAAACTCTCCACTTCCTTCTCCGAGCAGAACTGTCTGAATCTGCTCTGCTGCAACACCCCAGACAGAGAGTTCTTTGAACAGTCACACCAGGAGCAATAAGGAGTATCAAAACAGGAGAGTCAAAATATTTAATTTATAAACAAGAAGGCAGCCAGAGAAAAACTAAGTTAAAATGTGCTAGGGTTTAGCATTTTCATGGTTGCTTTACAAAAGAAACAAACTTGCCATAAAGATGTCCCTGTTCCACTAAGTAGCTTGCATTCTGAGTGGGTTAATTAGGTTAAAACTAAAGGACCAAATAATTTTTTTTTTTTATTTTCCTAATATAAGGAAGCAAACAAAAAATGCTGTCCCCTTTCTCTTACCATTCTTATCTTAATAAATAAAAGTATCTTCAAAGATCTAGGAAATATTTTAGTGCAAGCTTTTCTCTTTACTCAAAAGAGTTTTGAATCAGATTCTAACCAAAAATCTAAATGTACTGAGTAAGAATGTATCAGCTACTTTTCTGATGAAAAATGAACTGCAAAAACTGCAACATATTCGTGAAAATCCACAGCGGGGAATACATATTCAAATAATATGGCCACTCAGATTTTTTTCTGTAAGAGCCTGAGCTGACTATGTTCCATATAAAAAGTTAGCCACACAGTGAAGAAACAGTTGGGCATACTGTATCAAATAAAGACACCGATCACTTTGGGTCTGTCACCTTGAGCTGGATAAAATTGAAAGAAATACAGAAAAGGGTGAAAGTAACAATCGTCTCCCAGGTTACCCGACTGAGATCAGCTGACATTAAAATTGGAAGTGGTCCTTCACATTCAATGTGGTTTGGTTGTATGGTCATTACAGAAGATACAGTTTGGGCCATTAACGGAAAGGTTATGATAAAATTATATATGTCATCACCACAGCAGTACATCAGTAAAGCAGAAATGGCATGATCTACAGTATGGTTACTAGGTAGAAAGCATTGTAAGAAATGAATCTGAGTC